ATGCGATGATGAACCCCCGAATCCATGATGAGGAAGTCTAAGAGCGTGGCACTTGTGCGAATCATCACATCTTACATCAAGCAGTAGAAGATGAAGTAGCAACCAGGTCAGAAGTTGATGAAGATAACCAAATTTGGAGGATTTTCGAAGCTAGATTAGTGTTATGTTCATAAATATATAGAAGAAGCATGTTCTTAGTTATTGAGTCAATTTGTTGTTGTAGATTGACTAAGTGGAGGGAGGAGAGGCCTACGTCCGAAGCCCACACCACAATTTTCAAAAAATCTATAAAAGAAGAAACATTTAAGAAAAATAATATTATATACTAAAAAGATCCAAAATTTGTTATTACCAAAATCCTTTGAAAGGTTGAGATAGGCCTTTCAGTACGAGCGATTTCCTGTGAGGCCGATGATTCCTCTCAGTCCAGATCGTGTATATATTGGTTCACTGCCATGTAACTTGAATAAGTTTTTTTTTACTCTACTTCCTCTAATTCATTGCATGGTAACTAAGGTAGTAGTCCATCCAAGATTTGGTAGTATCTAAAATCTTCTCGCAACTTGTTCTCTAATAATCCAACTCAAATCATAACTAGAAAAAAATGATCTCCATTGATTTTCAGAGTAGGAGTTGCATAGCAAATGATGTAATTTCTATTGCATCTAATAAACTTGTGACAATTCTAATCCGCCGCAAAATCTAGTTGTCTGCTAGTTTTGTGTTGAATCTTGATTTTTTCCTAGCAATTGTAATGCATCTTTTTTAACAACCTCATTTAGTTCAACTTTCTTTTCTTCTCTTAAAGAGAAACCATTTGGAAATTACAAGCTGATCTGAAGAGGAAACTAGTAGTTAAGCATGATACATGTAATAGAGCTATAGCTCTTGCTGATACAAGTGGAATATGAAACTCATTTGAACATTTCTTTCCACCTGGTTTAGATACATCCAAGTTTAAATCGTGACTTCTACTATCGGGTCCCCTGATTTGTTCACTTACTCCACTTGCTTCAATTGGATTATAATGCACTTTTTTCACATATATGTTTGTAATGGTTTACCACTTAATTAAATGGCAATTCTCACAAATACTACTAAATGAAGTTTTGTTTCCAAGTTATGTTTCGATTATATCGATTTTTTGTTCTATTTTCATTTTGTCACTATTTTGTCATAACTTTTTTTAATCGTTACATTGTTCACTTACG